GAGAGACCACGAAGGGCTAACTCATTCGCGATCGATAATTTTGGCTTAGTTTAGATATTAGACCTTTTTGTCTTCAAAGAAAAACCGTAAGTTGATTTTCGTGATGGAGTTGACTTGGAGGCAAATTCAGATATTGGATGTTGCCTCTGATGAAAAATGGACTAGAAAACCCAGATCATAATGGATTGGGTATTTTGGTCGGGGACTATCAGCGATGTTAATTGTAAATTTGATGTGATTTATTACTTTCTTGAATAAATGATTTTTTTTGAGAAGTATAGATATAGAGAAAGAATGTAGCGAGGCGAAATTGACCTTATACTCGATGAGCATGTGGCCTTACGCGAAGGCGGTCTAATCCCTGGGTACATAGGGTACCATTTTTTGTAATTAGACCAAAATCTTTGTTTGACTTACTGTAGAAACTGTGGTTATTTTCAGATTGATGTTGCACTTGCTGGTGGAGAAATTGATTATGCCGACAAATGAAACAGTGCATGTTACATTTCTAAACTTCTTGTTGTTGTTCAATTTTTTCTTAGTTAATATTATGCATGACCTCGTAATAATTGTTTTTCAAGTGCATCTCAGCTCACCGTAGCTGTCAGATTACTGTGAGGCTACACTTTTCTCAGCTTTACCGCTCCTTAAACCCCGAGCTCTATGCCTATGCCAGTTTATATTTGGTTTCTTGTCTGTACAGTAAATGTCTGTTGACTCAACAACTGGTGGCTAATCAAGAGCTTTATCGTGATTTTAGCCTAAAGGTTCCATCTATCATTCAAATGTGAGTATAGCAAACCTTTGTTCACTCATTTGCGCATACGGAAATAACGTTCTCCTATAGACGACTGCATTATGAAATTAATTATGAGCGCTGTCACTTATCTGTGACAGAATCCAACGGTGTTATGGTTCGTCTTAGTTAGCGTATGGTCCAGCGCGTCCTTTGCAACTTTGTTAACTCTTTGTTGGTGCGGATTAACCCATCATCAAATCATTTCTTACAGAAATTGATTCTTATGTGAAGAAATTTTGTGCCTATGAATTATTTCTCTGTTTGTGCTATGTGGATAAGAACATTGTGTATCTCTGACTTTGCTATGAACTGATCTGCCTGATCTTAATTTTTCCATTATGTCCTCATGTGACACCGTGTTTTCTTTTCTTTTCGCGTATACGAGGTATACTATTTATTGTGAGAACGT